AGCACTGTTCATGGCAGCAAAGACTTGGAACCATCCCAAATGCCCATCAATGATAGAGTGGGTAAAGAAAATATGGCACATATATATTGTGGAATACTATGCAGCCAGAAAAAAGGATGAGTTCATGTCCTTAAAGACACAGATGAAGCTGGAAACCATCATTTTCAGCAAACTAGCACGAGAACAGAAAACCAAATACCTCATGTTCTCACTCTTAAGTGGAAGTTGAACAATGAGAACACATGGACACATGGAGGGGACATCACACACTGGGTCCTGTTGTGTAGTGGGAGGCTAGGGGTGGGTTAGCAGAAATACCTAAAGTAAATGATGGGTTAATGGGTACAGCAAACCACCATGGCACATGTGTACCTATGTAACAAACCTGCACGTTCTGCACATGTATCCCAGAAGTTAAAGTATAATGAAAGAAAAAAAGGAAGAATTCACTTGAAACCTAAGCAATGATAGTGTTAAAGGAAAATGCTACCCTTGCCACATGAGCCAAATTCAAGATCTTCTCTTTTAAAGATACTGGTTATTATTCCACAGTTATTCCCCAACTACCAGTAAGGGCAGCCACACAATCTGTTACGTAAGCCAAAGGAAATGAGTAACTTTGTTCCCCCACCCCCAGAAATGGCATAACTATTTTTTTTCTGTTTCTCTTTTCTTCTGTTCATGATATGGAGAAATTGGGTCATGTCACTAACTTTGTGTTTATTGAAAGAAACCTTGGCCTTGAAACTTTCTTAGAAGGGTGTTTGCATTGTACTCGGAACCATATGTGAGATATTCAGGATTTCCCAGATGATTCAGATAATTTTCTTTATTTTACACATGATTTTAACTGCACTTTAGTAGTTCTAATTTTTATGAATATTTAGACAATTGAATTTGGCAGTTGACAATTTTTCTTTTTCTGGGTATTTTTGCTATTTGTGTTTATATTTTATAGTAATACATTTACTTATGTAGAATTTAAAGATAAAAGGGAATGAAATTTTAAAATAAAATTGTTTGGGAAAGGATTAACTTTTGAATATATTGTCCAGACACAATTGATTACTAGTTTAGAAAAATTAAGAGTGTGATTCCCATCTCACCTTATACAATAAGCATAAACCGTAGGTGGATGTACTATCTAAATAAAAAAAAGAAACTTTAAAATTTGTGAATAAAATGGAAGGATATTTTTATCTTGGGATAATGGAGAACTTCTTAAAGAACATATGAAAAGCACAAACTCTAGTATAAATGATTAATAAATTTGAATACAACAAAATTAAAATTTAGATTTTAAAAAACTGTAAAAAAAGAACTAACGTACAGACCAAGACGAGAAGTAATTTGTAATATAATTAAAGTTCAGAATCTAAAATACCTTAAGAGCTTAGATAAGCAATTTAGGAAAAAAAGAGTCAATAGAAAAATATGCAAAGATTTGAAAAGACAACTCAGAGAAAAGAATACATAAATCATTAATAATGATCAATAAATGAGACTGTCTCCTCTGTCATAATAAAAATGAAAATTAATTTTTTTACAACTATCAGCTTGATAAGAAAAAGTAAATGCATTTTAACATCTAAATGACTGAACATATCTACAGAAAAATAAATATACCACTTTTCTCCTCCTCCTGGGCTCAGTAAACCTCTCACCTCGGCCTCTGAGTAGCTGTGACTACAAGACGGTCTAAGGCTCCTGGGCTCAAGCGATCTACCAGCCTCAGCCTCGCAAAGCCACTGCGTCCAGCCAGTATACAACTTTAATTATAGTAACTTGTACAATTATCACCCAGCTCAAGAAGCCTTCATAACCCTTTTCTAGTTCACAGTACCTTAATTCTCAACTAGTTCTAAGTATTACCTTGAACTATTTCAAGATGTGCTGATGGTCTCCTGGGGGAAAACCCAGAACTTTGTAGCTTTGCTAATTTCTATGAAGTAAATACTCCCATCATGGCAAACTTCAAGCTCCCAACAGTTCAACTGGCTTGTCCAATTCCTAAAAACCTATCGAATAATTCTCGTATGTATGAGCCTATTTCAGCACTCATCTCAATTACTTCATTTCTGTGGTTTTCCTTCTTTTTCTTTTTTTTCTGTTTACCACCTAAGTGAGCATCTTTAAATAGTTGTGTTTTAGTTGCTTCTGACAATATCAATGTTATGTAACTTGATGAAATTATTTTTCTTCCAATATTCTGGAAGACTTTAAATAGCATTGAGATTATCTTCTCTTTAAAGGTTTAGTAAACTCCTATAAGAAACCACCTGGATTCCTTCCTTCCTTCACATTCTTCTCTTCCTACTCCTGCTTCTCCTCCTTTTCTTCTTTCTTCTTTCTTCTTTTTTTTTATGAGTTCTGACAGCTTTCTTTCTTCCATGGAAATCAGACTGTTTCAATTTTTCAAAATCTCCTTTCTGGCCATTTTTGATAAATTGCATTCTAGAAACTTATTTTGTCTGCTTTTATATTTATTTACATAAATTTGAGGAAAGCAGCTTTATGGTACATTTTTTTGTTTTGTTTTCTAAGGTTATTGCTCTCTTACCTTTTTTACTATTCGATATTTTTCTCCATTTTTTTGGGGTAGCATGATAAATATATTTTCTATATCCTTTTGGTTTAGAGCCAGTTTTAGGATTTATTCACAATTTCTAGTGTTTTCTGACTCATTAATCTCTGTTTGCAACTTAGTTTTTTCCAACCTCTTTCTGAATTATTGAGCCATCTATTTAATTCGTGTTTTTTGTAACTTCTTCTGTATTAATGTATGTAGTAAAGGTTACTTGTATTTCTCTGAGCATGTTACTTTAGCTGTTCTCTTAAGAATGAAGCATATTCAACCAAAAGTATACTAAATTGTGATTCAGCAAACAAAGATTTCCATCCTGTTTCTCTGTGTGTAGCAGTGTCATTTTGGCATGTTACTTTGTCTTCCTTCTTAGGTCAGCTTCCCCGACTAGAAAATGGGAAAATATTTGATCTCAGAACTTCTATTTTACTCTCTGTTTATGAAATATACTCTCATACCCAGGTTGTGAGTCAAGAATTTGAATTGAGTCTACAACGTGAATTTGGAAGTCTCAAAACATTTTTTTTCTTTTCCTAACATACTAGTAAGTCTATGAACTGTAGTCTCTGGTATAATAAAAAAGACTATGCTTCTTTTCAGTCTTTGTCTACAATATGGGGCCTGAGCCTCAAGCAAATTCGGGGTCTATATAGACATTCTTTATTAAGTTGGCACATTTCGTCAGAATTAATCAACTGTTGGAAGTTATTACGGAAAGTTCATGAGGAAGCATTTTCCAAGATCCTTTGAAATTCTTGAAATAAACACACAATCATTAGCAATGCAAAATCAAACAGAATGCCATCTTATTGAATGGGTTAAGATGAAGTTACAACAAATATTGTGTCAGAGTAAACATCAGAAAATAGATTTTCTAAGGTCCAGAAGTTAGAGAAATATGCAATAATGAGCATACTATTAAATGTTGACAGATTCTGTATCCAAGATTTTCTTAAAAAATAAAAACAAAGAAAATTTGTTTTGTGCTCATAAAAATGCATCAGGGAAGAGCAAACAGGTTGTAACAGAATCTTTAACTCATCCATATTATGTAAAATTCACATGTGAAATTACTGTCTATATTTTAAAATCTGTATAGCAACTGTGAGCTCAATGTACCTTGTAGAAGAGTTAATCACTACAACAAAATGAAATACCTTAAGTTGTGTGGCTGTCTTTGTACTTAAACATTAATACAAACTCAGTATATTTTACTTACACTTACTAATGTAGAAAAATCCAAGAAGGGGAATTAGCAGAGAAATGGAACAAAATATCCTTCGTTTACATTAGTTTACTGAAAGACATTTTAAGTCATCTATTTTGTAAAATATTATGTAACAATAGCAATCATTGCCCACTCTGTATAACCCTACACAGTCTACATAAATCGCTTCTGAATAGTTTTTCTATACAGCTCACCACATTTCTAACTATAGGAAAGTAATCTTGCAACCTTAAAAAATACATTGATTTGTATGCACATAAAGAGACCAGGATAATTAATGCTAAAAACTGGTAAACATAATTTATTCTTGACCTCTCACAAAAAGGGAAAGAAAAGTTGTATTACATGCTATATTTTGTTTAGAGATTTATGATGCAGCATCATTTTCATTTCCTTTACAATAAATATTTAAAAGACATATAATATTAAACACATTACCTAATTACAAGCCTTATAGTAAAATATTAGGATGACGGTTTCAAAGCTCAAAACATTTACTGTCACTCAGCATATTGTATGTTCTTTCATAAATCAGTACTGAAGCATACAAGCCAACAAACTCTGAAATTCTGGCCAAACACTTCCCAGTTATGTGCAAGAGATAACTGCTTCTCAAAGAGCCAAACTGGACTTAAACTTTAAATAATAAAATATAAATATGCTAGACATGATAGGAAGATAATGCATGTGCATTTATTTTGGCTAGACTCTGCTTAAAATTTTGAACTTTTTATGACTGTATAAGCTTGGATATGTTAATAGATCATTTTAGGCCCATTTTATTTTCTAAATGGGAGTGATGATACCTACTTTGTAGAGTTGTTGTAAAGTCAAAATGTACCTCATTTTGTTGTACATTATATGTACAACCGCTTTTGATACACGGTAAGCAACTATAAAATTTTCATTTCCCTTGTGATCATCTTTTATAATCAGCCATTTTTTTAAAATATAGAACTTAATGTAAAAGGTAAAATGTGAATATGAACGTAAAAATATGGGAAAATATTTCCCAAAATGACTGTTAACATAGAAACTGGAGTTAAGCAAGAAAACATTCAAAATTCTACTAACATGGCCAGTGCCAAAAAAAAATACAACACTAGACTCCTGGACAAAGGATATGTAAGGTTGGTCTCTTTCCTGTCATTAAGTGGATTCCTAATTATGTTGTGTATGTTGTTTCAGAGGCAAAGGCCCATTGAAAAATACATCTGATGTCATTAATGCTGCCAAGAAAATTGCTGAAGCAGGTTCTCGAATGGACAAATTAGCCCGCGCTGTGGCTGATCAGGTAATAGAAGAGGGAAAAGTGGGTGCATGCTGAGTGGAATCATTAATTAGCACCTGGGTTTTGTAATTAGTTTTATGCATCCTAGAAAATGCTTCTGAAGAATGAATCAGAGGGGAGAATCACTGGTATTTTACACACTGGCCTTTGACTTTCCTGACACCGTGCTGGTGGCAAAGGTAGATTTAGCTCAGGAGAGAATGCTAAGGCTTCTGACTGAAATTCATTGAGAAAGAAGAGCACTTGGCCAGGCGCAGTGGCTCACGCCTATAATCCTAGAACTTTGGGAGGCCGAGGCGGGTGGATCACAAGGTCAAGAGATCGAGACCATCCTGGTCAACAAGGTGAAACCCTGTCTCTACTAAAAATACAAAAAATTAGCTGGGCATGGTGGTGTGCGCCTGTAGTCCTAGCTACTCGGGAGGCTGAGGCAGGAGAATTGCTTGAACCCCGGAGGTGGAAGTTGCAGCGAGCCAAGATCATGCCATTGCACTCCAGTCTGGGTAACAACAGCGAAACTCCATCTCAAAAAAAAAAAAAAAAAAAAAAGAGAGAGAGAGAGAAGAGCACTTACTACTTAGGAGACATCAGCCCCTGAAGAGTAACAAATTGTCCCAGAATTCCTCATTCTAAAAGCCTTCTTCATACAAAATAAAGGAAGGGGTAAGAGCAGATTTTTAAATTTTCATTCTTGGGCTTTTGGTTTAAATACATTTTCAGAGATTCCTACATAATACCCTCTTTTGTTTACTTCATGGTGCTGATCACATTTTAAAAAGATATATTTATTGCTTTACCTTTTTTTTTTTTCTGTTGCCCCCAGAAAATTTAGGTTGCCCATTTTAACTGACTGACAGAATGAATAAAGGAGAGAAAAGAGCCACCTGCCTTGTGGTCAAGGAGTTCAATGGGCAGTTTTAGGGGTGTGATGGGTCATGATTTGATGGTTTGTTTAAGATGTTGTCAGGGACTCAAGGACTCTACCAGGACTAGAATGCAAACAGGGGGTAGGACAGTCAGGGGAATTTGAAGATCAATGGGCAGAAATAGGTAGAAGAATCTAGAAGAAGATGATGTTTTTAAATGTAGAAATAAGAAAGTAGAACTTCCCCTCTTGTTATTTAATATGGATCTCACTCTAATGATATTCTTTATAATTCATAATAACTTATGCTCTACCATAAATGGGATTATGCCACATGATCAAGAACCTTCAGATTTCAGCTTTATTCTAACCCAGACTAAGAGGCATCAGAGATAAATGAAATTCTCAGAGTTATCTCTTATGCTTTCAAACCAAACTAGGATATACATTAAAAGAGTCCTCACCTTGAAAGTGTATTTCCGTACTTTTCTTTTTATTTGTCTTGAAATTGGAATTTTAAAATCCTGTTCTAAATGTCTTGTTGCAATTATGGTCCATTCCTCATAAGAGTTCTTTAGGTAGTAGACTTTTCCAGGTAACTAATGATTATCCCTACAAGCAACAGTGGTTTACAGTTTAAACCACTTCAGATGGATTGTATCATAAAATACGTTTTTATAATAAAATATTATATATGCTATTATCTACATGGCAATGTTAACACAAATTTGCTTAGTATGCTGGAGAACATTGATGCAAGCTGGAGATTCTGAAAGATGTAGGATTGCATTCTTCTTCATATATGACCCTAGTCTCTGCTGATCTGATGATTTTTGAGTCTTTGTGTTGCTCGTTACAGTTTTCCTCCCTCATTCCTACATATAAAGGTTGCTACTTTAAGTACTTACTGCCTCAGCATCCCAGGCTCTGACATCCTTCATTCAAGTCAATACCAAATTCACACCTTTTGTAAAGGCTAATGAAACAAAACAAAAACCTAGATGATTTTACTATCAGGATTTCACTTAAGAGTCAACAAATTCTCATTTTAATTTTATTTTACGTATGTGATGGCTAATCCAAGAGATATTTTTTTAAACTTCTGATTTTTGAAGAAACACTTACTGGTTGAGATAACTCTAGTATGATAATTTGAAAACCTCTCACCATTTGTAGGAGTTGATTGTCAACCCATTGCTGTTGCCGAATATCAGGGCAATATCAAACATGAGGCTTCACAGCATAAACTGGGCTTTTCTTTTTCTTTTTCTTTTTTTTTTTCTGGACAGAGTTCCATAAGTATTCCTGAAAGCTCATGTAAAGGAGGGAAGAGACAGTGAATTTACTTGAAAATATGCATACAAAAAAATTACCAACTAGAAAAGGCCACATTCTTTTTTTTGAAAATGTTGAGGAGAGTTGGGATGTGTAAAATGGCTGTAGGTACTTATTTACTTACAAATTGTAAGTACTTACTTATTAACTTACACCCACCAATTTGTTGGGAGTGAAAGACTTCTTGGGAGTGAAAATTAGTGGAGTTTGAATGGCTGTTTCATTGTACTTTAAATCTCAATGAAAAAAAAAATTTCTCAACATATTTAGGCTCCTTGAGTTCAATAGTTTTAGTTGTGAGTTTTGTTTCTGATTTTACCTTTTTGGACTTTTATTTTCAATTATGCAATTTGAAGCATAACTCAAAACAGTTGATAGGTGAAGAACACAAACACACACATACACAAATCCCAGGATACTAGATTTATTTTGAGATGAAGTGACAGAATATTTAAATGCTATTTAACAGTGACTCAGAATAAACAGATGAAGTTTACATCTAACCTTCTTTGTTGCATTATTATTGTCATTAGCTGTGAAATAACTTGCAATTTTTGATAAAGAAATCTGTCAGAAAAAAAGGTTATCCAATTCTGTCCCTATTTCCATGGTTTAGGAGTGATTTTTCTTGATCCATCACGCCTTTTAAAATGTGTATTTTAACTGCTTCAGTTTAAAATAACAGAACAGAATGAGTATTACGAAGGAACGGATTGTTACATTTATTTTGCCAGAAAATATTTTTTACAGATTTGAGATATGCATGCCATATAAACTTTTTATGGACTGTTGCATTTTTAATTACTGTTCCATTAGATAGAACTCTGAGTTTAATTTGCTGCAAGGTATTTGTATCAAAAGCCTTGTCAGCCCTCTGGGGAGATATCATTTTAAAGTTAATTCCTTTCAGTATATGGGTCCCTGGAGTAGGATAAATATTACAGTATGTAGTACTTATAGGAAGCTAAAAAGAGTCTCTGTGGAATTCTTTTGTGATAAATGCAGTTAGTGAAAAAATACCACAATGGTAAGTGTTAGATTTAAAAAAAATCCCTTTATTGTTTATTCAGTAGATGGTTATATGTAATCACTGGCATTACGGTATTGATAAAAGAATTTTCGTTGTTAATCTTGAGGAAAACTTAGCTCAGAGTCTTTCTCCCATCCTCTCATTCTAAATAAGACACTTCAGTTGTGGCTGCAGGTACTTATTTCATACAGTATCGAGGATCTGGTGAGTTTATGTCCTTTACAGGAGCCAAATTGTATACAGAGCAATTACATGACCTGGAAGTAGCTCAAGCTGAACCTTTGATAGCAAAAGAAATATACAGGTATCTCAATTCCTCGGTAGCCATTGGCATTGAAGCCTCAGAAATGGTTTCAGGAGTCATGTAAATGTCTCTAGAAGTGTTCAGCCAAGCTCTGTGTGCACTTGATAGACATGTACCCACTGAAGTCATAATGAGAATTCAAACTCCTTAGCCAGAGTTGACTCTGGTGCCTTGATTAAAGGACTCTGTTGCTACTCTTATGAATTTGTTTCAGCTGGCTTCAAATGCATTCCATCAAATCTGTTTTTCTTACAGTGGTCATGAACCATTTCAGTCTCTCACTTAAATACAGGTTATTATGTTGTTTAAATTTTGATAAATATGAACTCCCAAAAAGTGCGATAGACTTTTTAAAATAAGTGAACAATGCATTTATTAGAGAACCAAAGGAAACACATTGATTTTCTTTCTCCAACTAACTGGATTGAAACTGTCCCCTACGCTTGGCAGAGAGTGCCACACGAAGTGATCTACTTTTAGCATCCTTTGGTCCTCTGCATTAAAGTAACCTTTCACATAGTGAGAGTTAAAGAAAACTGTAAAATATTTAGGTTTCAAGTTTAAAAGGCAGCAGGTAAAAATACTCATAAACATGTATAGAAGTCCCAATATGACTTTCTGGAATATCGTCAACATTCTTCTGATAACATTTTATTAAAGTGGAGCTAACCATTCTAAACTACTGTCTATTGCCTTTCTAAAGTGTGCTGTGAAAAAGTTAGGTTCAGTGAATGTAATTAAGGAATATGACACTGAAACCTTTTCTTCCTGCAGGTTTTCTGTAACAAATCTTAGAAACTGAAGAGTACTTACTAATCAAGATCATTCTTTTAATGTTTTATAGTGTCCTGATTCAGCATGTAAGCAGGATTTATTAGCCTACCTTCAACGAATTGCCTTGTATTGCCATCAGCTTAATATCTGCAGCAAGGTGAAGGCGGAAGTACAGAATCTGGGAGGAGAGCTCATTGTGTCAGGGGTAAGCTGGGACTTGGGCTTCACAATGTTAAGTTCCCACCGTTGTACTTGCAAGGCAAACATTCTTGGCAACAGTACTGCTACAAACACCAAACTACTGTGATTTATAGAGAGGGTCTTTTAAAAAAATAAATGTGATCACCTTTATTCCAGACCTTACCATAACTCACAAAGAGCAATTTGATTTTCCAATTACCCTGTGTTTATTCTAGCCTTGTAAAATCTCCATTCTTCTCAAGGAAACTAATTTCATAGTCTGGAAACTCATTGCCAAGCTGTGATTATTATAATTATTTGGGGCTTTTGTATATTTACTCATTGTGAGTCTACTTCCTTTCGTTAGTCCTAGTAATTTTCATTCTCTGTTTAGGAGCCAGCCTCTCTATGTGTGGATTGTGTTCACATGTTAGAGATGATGAAAACAATAGGAATTCATTTATCAGGTTCCAATGCATACTAGGTTATCAGTAATCCTTAAGCCAGAAGATATTTGAATTTAATACAGGTTGATGTGCTGTTGCCAAAAACTAACATAATTGTCGAACACTAACAATTATATATTCCTTGCTCAATCACTCCAGTGTTTCCTTTCTCATGAAAATATAATTATCTAGTCCACTTTTATCAAATGTATAGAAATAATTTCAATGAATATTTAGAAGAATCACAATTTCTTGGCAAGATTTCCAAATATGTGTTGAGGTTCTTCACCTTGGCTTCTTCTCCTCCCTCAACCCCTTTCTCTCAACACAGGGTGCCATTGTTGCAAATTATTTGCAAGTCCAGAAATGTGGCTCTGACACCTTAGTTCTTTTCCCAGTGAGACATGATGCTACCATTTCAAATGAGTAATTACCAGGCGCATAATATTATCAGTGTGGTGAACACCCTTATGAAAATCAGACTGTTTACAAATCTCGGTTCTTCCTGAAGCCATTTTTGGAAATTTAGAAGTTTGACCATTTGGTAAAAATATGTGGACAAATCATTCTTGAACCCAAATATCTTGTTCCAATATTGTTTGAGTTGCAGGAAATATAGCTGGGAAAAGAACTGATCTGGCTTGCACAGAGACACCATCTGGAAAGCCTGTTTCATGCAGTCCCACCTAGAGCCCAGTAAATTGGCTATTTTGTGCCTCTTCTCAAAGCACAGTCACCTCTTTGCATTTCCAAAATGATCCTGCTTCAACATTCTTCAGCAACCAAGAGCAATCTGTCTTGCAATGTGTCCTTTCTGCCAAGCTGGTAATTACTGAGATTCTCTCGCCAAGAAGTGATCAAGTCATTGCATCTTCCTTGCTGCCTTTCTTATCTTCAGCCTTGATGGTATAGTTTCCCATACCACTCAGCTTTCATGTCCATCTGTATATAGCCCCTGTGGAACTGAGTGCTTTTTGTTCAGCTTGCCTCGTGTGCTTTCATTTGTTACTTTCCAATCTTATTATTTATGTGGATGCACAAAGCATCTTTGTGGATCTCAGACTCCACAACCTCATCTGGGCAATTTTTCCTAGCAGAGCTGCTCTCCATCATCCTCTCAGTACCCATTGTTCGTCATTGCCTCCAAAGCTTCATTCCCATTGTCCTTTCCTCATTTAGATGTAGTCCAAACCATCACTGGCTTTTATCACTTGCACTGTTGGCTTTTACAGAGGTGTTTGAGATTGGGAACACCATCAAGAAGCCTGTTTCCTTCTTTGAGTCTTGGTGGCAAAGTTCATAAATCCTTGCATGGGAGAAGGCTTCTTTTGGAAGAATGTTGTACAACTTTATGATAATTCTGAGGCAAATGCATTATAAAAAGTTTGCTATATATGCTCAGTCATGGGTCTGCTCTTGGCTTCCTCATGATTTATTCCAAGCTTGATTGCTGTTTGGTGCCACACCTACATCTGTAGTCTGCTGTCTTTGCCAGTTCTGCCTCCATCTTATTCTTCATCCTCCTTCACTGATGGCCAATGGAGAAAAGTATGAATATGCTTACTATGCAAAATAGCCACAAATGACTGCTTTCAGAGTTCTGAAAGAGTCAAGAATGTGAGACCCCATACACACAAATTTTCAATGATTTTGCCAAGAAAATTACACCCGTTTATTTTGTCATATGGCATGACAAAATTGCTCTCTTTCTCAGGAGAAGCCATCATCATTTAATGTGCAATCCAAAAAGAAATACTTAAATCTTTCCTTTTCCCCTGTGTTTATACGCATGAAATTCAAAGCTATGGCTTTCTGAAATATACCAAAATCCCCCGGAAAGTTACATTTATTAGAAGTCAACCTCTCTACCAAAGCTGGAGAGATTTGGACATATTTTTCCATTTTGCCAAGAAAAATGATTTTGATGTCAAAACAGAGAGCCACGTTTTTAGTCTTATGCTGGCATGATGAATGTATGTTAAACAAAATGCACAATTATGTTTTATGTCAGCGTGTTTATGTTTTATGTGATTCTATGTATACAAACAGAAAGGCTTCTTGTGTTGTGTCTGCTTTTGGCTTTGAGAGGTGGGGACAGAAAATTCGACCAGTCATGGAGGACAATGGGTATAAAACTTCTCCAGGCATTATATTGGTGAAATCAGCAGTCCAGGATGTGTTTCTATGTATGCTCATCCACACAACTGCTCTCTAAGAAATACCATTGGTTTTCTAGCTGCAATCGGGTTTTCTTTGTCATTGGCCTAAAACCCTCTCAATAACCAAAAGGTGACATTCTTATTAAATCTCAAAGTAGAAAATGCATTTGTGAGTCAATTCAGCTTAACCTGGTTACTAAGGGAGTAATAGAAAATTTTTAAAAATATAGAATTGTTAAAATGAAAGTAGAGAAAATTGAATTTCAGAAGATTAAACAGTCTATATGGCTTTATTTATTTACTTAGTTTAATGTTTACTTAAATTCTTAAGACAGTTTACAGGCTTTTTGAAAACAAGGAATATTGAAAGCAGAAAGATGAGGGAAAGGGAGGGGAGAAGAGAAGAGATGTAAAGAAGAAGGTAGAAAAGACAAAAGAAATAGAAAGTTAAACATAACATATATCATGAATTAGTTTAATGCAAGTAATGTCCATTAAATGTGACAGCATTATCTTATGGATAAAAGTTATGCCATATATTTGTTTTAGTATTTAAATACTATTTTGAATACAAATATGTTCCAGTATCTCGATATGGGTAGTACCTGTATATTTAATTATCATGTTATTGACTAATTTTTATTTGCTAGGTTTTGCAGGGTTTAATGGGTACCTTTAAAATTAAAAATGGAATGTATATATGGATCTGAAAAAATAAAAATCATTCCATGACCCCTTTAATATTGTTAGCTACCCAAAGATTTACACATTGTGTATGATTCTGAACAATATAAGAAACATGAATGTAGGATTTTAAAATTATGTGTACTGAATATCAAACATTCTGGTAAAACTGAAGAAGCCTACCTGAATTTTTTTAAAAAATTAAAATATAACAGGCTCCTCATTATAACAATGAATTCAGAACATAACAGCAATAACCCTACTTCGATCAGGAATTCAATGTTCTGGAGAGACAAGGATAAAATATATGGCCACAGATTTTAACAGATTTTATTACATAGAAATGTCTATATAATAACAAAATATTTGAATCGAGTGTGGAGGTGAAGAATGCAAGTTGCTTAAGTCCTCAGGCTGAATGAATGGATTACTGATATTTTCCTGAGAGACTGAGAAACTTGCCCTCATATGCACTTTTGACTTGTTGTTTAAATATCTCTTTTCCAAATTTGAATCCCTCTCAACTGGGTTTAGGAGAGAGATATGACAAGGTGAACAAATATAACTTGTGACAGTGGTAGGATTTGAATTGGTAAAAAGAAGATTGGAGACTGAAGGGTCAATTACAGTAATTCTTGTTGCCATGTTTCACATTATTTTAAAAAATTGGGCCGGGCGCGGTGGCTCACGCCTGTAATCCCAGCACTTTGGGAGGCCGAGGCGGGTGGATCACGAGGTCAAAATATCGAGACCATCCTGGTCAACATGGTGAAACCCCGTTTCTACTAAAAATACAAAAAATTAGCTGGGCATGGTGGCGCGTGCCTGTAATCCCAGCTACTCAGGAGGCTGAGGCAGGAGAATTGCCTGAACCCAGGAGGCGGAGGTTGCGGTGAGCCGAGATCGCGCCATTGCACTCCCGCCTGGGTAACAAGAGCGAAACTCCGTCTCAAAAAAAAAAAAAAAAAATTGGACTAATTATGATCAACATGAATATTCATGGTATAGATAATACATTCCTAAAAATATTGGAAACTGATACTGTTCAAATTAATTCTACCTGACACTGGCGTATATTGAAAAATGCAGATGTGTATCCAAAACACACACACACAGAACACAATTAATTTGAAATTTACTCTTACACCCTTAAGAAGCCTTAGTCAAGTAGTCAGGAACTTAACAAGGTTGATAACTAGAAACTATCTGATCCAATACAAACTAGAGGGAAAAAAAAAGTTGTATATATTTGTACAGTGATATATGTATGGTGGGTTGAGGTAAGAATTACATTGTATTTGAAGAGTTCTGTATTCATTTTATTTGTAAAAAGTGCCAGTATTTTGTAATGAGATAAAACAGCCACTGAAACAAGAATTGCATCTAATTGTGTAGATCTGTACATTAAGCAACCTTTTTTTCTTAATTTTTTTATATATCTTCTATACTGTCTATAGTCAATTCTTCATGATCTCCATGGATCAAGGGGTAACAGTAATTGAAAAAATCTGAAGTGCTCGCTATTTCAATTTGGATTTCGAATGCATGTTAGCACTTCACTTGAACAAAAGGGTATGTGTTCTAGGAATTCATCTCAGTTCAAAAGAATTTTATCCAGACCTTCCACACTTAAAGGACCTTCCCTTATCTAAGAAAAGTTGAAGTGTCCAAATCTAGAGAGTTAAGACAAAAACAAACTTTAGGTTGTAAATCTGGATGTTAGGGTTAGTGGAGAA